GCGCTGCCCGGCGGCGGCTACTCCTTGGCGCGCCCGATGATGGTGAGGATGTACAGGAAGATGTTGACGATGTCGGTGTACAGGTAGAGCGCCGCGAACACGTACTCCTCGGGGCTGAGCGACAGCTGCTTGTTGCCCAGCAGCAGCTGGGTGTCCACGGCCAGGAACTGGGGACGGCGGGCCGTGAGGGGCGCCCCGCCCCGCCCCCCGCCGCCCGCCGGGCCCCACTCACGCAGGTGAAGAGCAGCGCGCCCAGCGAGGCGTACACGACCTCCAGGATGCGGCTCCGGACGAAGACGCACAGCAGGGCGAACACCACCAGCACCACCATGCTCACCAGCAGCACGCCCAGGCACGAGGTGAAGTCGTAGCGCGTCTGCGGGCGAGCGTGTGGGTGCCGGCCCGCCCCGCGCCCCCGCCCGCCGCGCCCTTACCTGCATGGAGAAGATGACCACCGCGAAGCAGACGGTGGTGGTGATGCCCACGGCCATGATGACCGCCTCGGTGTTGTAGAAGCTGGCGATCATGCCCACCATGTAGGACAGGCTGAGCGTCAGGACCGACTGCGGAGCAGAGCCTGGCTGTGGGCCGGCCGCGGCGCGGGCGCGGGGCGGGCGGGGCTCGGCGTGGGGGTTACCAGGGCCACGAGGTTCCAGGGGTGCTTTCTCCGGAAGTCCCCGCAGCAGCTGAGGACGATGAGGGAGACGAAGAAGACGGCGTAGGACATGTAGTAGGTCCAGACGTTCGCCTGGACGAAGCCCTTCACCTCCCCGACGAAGGTGAACACAGCCACAGTGGACAGGGTCACCGACAGCTGCAGGGTCAGCACCAGGAACACCTGGGGAGGAGGCCGGTCAGACGCCTGGGGCGCCCACAGCCCCCCGCCCCCGCCCGGCCCCCACCTTCCGGATGAAGGCCTGGCGCAGGGTCTTGTCGTCCCAGTTGGTGGCGGGGAAGTCCTGGTTGTCATAGTAGGAAGGTGGCCCCTCCTCGTGGTAGGTCCCCAGGTGAGGGGCTGCGGAGGAAGCCCGGTCAGCACCGGGGGCCCGGGCCCGCCCGCCCCGCCCGCCCCGCCGGCTACTCACAGCCTGGGTCCTGCGCTGGGAAGACCTGCGGCTGTCCGTAAGGGTTGGGGGGAAAGGGACTCTGCGGGTGAGGCCCCTGGGGGTAGCCCCCTTGGGGGTAGGGGCCCTGAGGGTAGCCCCCTTGGGGGTAGACGCTTGGGCCCTGGGGGTAGCCCCCTTGGGGGTAGGGACCCTGCGGGTAGCCCCCTTGGGGGTAGACGCTCGGGCCCTGGGGGTATCCTGGCTGGCCATAGGGGGAAGGCTGGAAAGGGGGCTGTGGGTAAGGGGCGCCAGGGTAGGGAGGCATGGAGGGCTGGGGCCCCCCCGGATATCCAGGGTTGGGGGGAGGATAGGTGTCCCCCGACACCAGGAAACTCTTCTCGTGGGGCATGGCCTCCGGCTCTGCGGCGCCCCCTGGAGGAGAGAGACGCGCTGAGTGTCCGCGGAGCCGCAGGCACCTGCCGGCTCCCCCACGTTTGCCGGGAGGAGGGGGGCGCTCCCGGGCGGCGGCGGCGGGTGGGGGGCAGAGGGCCGAGGGTCCGGGGTGGCCCCGGGGCTTCAGGAGGGGCCGCTCCAGGCCAACCGCAGAGGTGGAGGACGGGCCGGGCCCAGGCACGGCGGCGCCAGCCCGCACAGGGGCGCAGCACAGGGACGCAGGGCGCCCGCGGACCTTGTCCGGGTCAGGGCTGGCCGGGGCGCCAGCAGGCGCGTGGGGTGCACCCTCCCCACCCCGCGCACCCAGCCCCCTAAGCAGCTTTAGAGGGTCAGAGCCGGCCGCCGTTTCTGCCCCCGGAAATCCTCGCGCCATCTGTGCCCAGGAGCCGTGACCCCTCTCCGCAGCGGGCCGGTGACCCCCACTCTTCCCCCCGCTTCCTGGGTGGGGGCAGCAGGCCCGGATCCGCTGCC